TCAAACTCTTTTTGTTCTTGTCTTTCAGATTTCCCAGAATCCAAAGCTGCTATTGAGGATCTGAAGTTCTGCCTGGAGAGAACCAATCAGAGACAGCAGCTCCTCACCTCGCTCAAATCTGCCTTCGAAAGCCGCCTACTGCACCCGGGTCGGTTTCTGTCGGGGTTTGTTTTTGTGACCTGATGAGTCGCGATTCAATGTTTAAAGTCAGGATTAGAGAAGAAAACAACAATGAGATGAAGGTGGAGGAGGAAGAGCTCAGAGGAGGTTCAGTGAGGTGGTGAAGGAGGTGCAGAGGGTGACAGGAGGAGGTGGAGGCGGAGCATCGAGCTGATGCAGCTGTTTAAAAACAGCGTTTGTTGAGGTTGTTGTTGTTTTTCAGCTCGCCGTGCACACGTGTGATTTCTCAGGTCATCCTCATCATCGTGTAGGGAAGCTGGTCTCTATGGTAACGTCTGTGAAACTGACCGATCTGTCCGCAGGCGTTCACACGTCGGACATCCTCACCGTTTACATCTCGGCCATCAAAGCGCTCCGAGAGCTCGACCCGTCCATGGTCATCCTGCAGGTCGTCTCCCAGCCGATCCGCAAGTACCTCAGGTGAGTCCACGCAGGCGCCGACGGGATTCGCTTCCAGTCCCGCTCTGATCTTTTCCGATCGTGCACTTTTTTGTGAGTAAAGTTCGACATGAGTTTAAAACTTGACGTCCGAGCAGAGGATCAAATGTCCGTGTTGCGTTTCAGGACCCGGGAGGACACGGTGAGGCAGATCGTAGCCGGGCTGACCGGAGACGCAGAGGGCTGCACCGACCTCGCCTCCGAGCTGTCCCGAGGAGACCCGGTGACTCTGGAGATGCAGGACAGCGACGAAGAAGGCAACGACCCCGAGGACTGGACTCCGGACCCGACCGATGCCATGCCCGGTCAGTGAACGCACCGCGCCGAGCGCAGAGGAGGAGACCGCAGGTGAAGAGAAAGATCTCACTCGTGTGTTTGTTCTCAGATAAAATGGGCTCGAAGCGCCGCTCGTCCGACATCATCAGCCTGCTGGTCAGCATCTACGGCAGTAAGGAGATCTTCATAGACGAGTACAGAGGCGTGCTCGCCGACAGGCTGCTGCAGCAGCTCAACTACAACACGGCCAGGTACGACCGCAGCGCCCGGCTTAACGCTGAGAGACAGCGTTGGTGTTTTGAACATGTCGGGTCACTGATATCTGTCCCAAGATCCTCACGCCGTCCTGTTTTCTGCGTCTTCAGGGAGATTCGTAACGTGGAGCTGCTGAAGCTGCGGTTCGGCGAGTCCCACATGCATTACTGCGAGGTCATGTTGAAGGTAAACATCTGGAATATGGATCCATAACCAGATATTTTAGGACATTCCCTGAAAGGATGAATTTCTGAGAACGTTGTGATTACCCGATGGATGCAGGACATGGCGGACTCTCGCAGGATCAACAGCAACATCCGAGAGGAGGAGTCGAAGCTGAGCGAGGAGGAGCAGCCGCCGCTGCCCCTGTCGGCCATCATCCTCTC